AGGCAAATAAAAGCAGTAGGAAAGCCTCATGGTATTTTCACTTGGCCTTTCCTCACCACCTCCCTGTGCCTCTGCAGCAGTCTCGAAGATGGCAGCCCATACTCCTAGTGTGGGACGCTGGTCCCTGGTTCCAGAGCAGAGCAGAACTCACAAATTATTGTGTTTGTTCTAATCTGTCTGGGGGCTACCTGAAGGACTGAAACAAGGCATTCATCTCTATTTTACAAAGCTCAGAACCCACTCAGGGCAGAAAAGCAGGCTGCATTGCTCATAAACACTGTAAGACAAACAAAAAGCCCACAGCCTGGGGTAAAAGATTATGGTTGAGATATACAATAGAACACAATATCTGAGAGGAAAAGCCATGAAGAGAATTTCCTTGGGAAATCAGGGCATTCAAAAGCACCTATGTGTACTGGGGAATTTAGGACCCAGGACACGATGCATGCTCAGAAAATACCTCAGAAGACACCAAACCTTCACCACTGGCTTATCTGTAGGCTCAGTGCAAGCCTGGCTAAATGCTGAAGGGCCCTAGCACACAGCCAATCTGCAAAACCAGAGAGAGGTTGTTTTTTGTTTTGTTTTGTTTTGTTTAGCTCCTGGTATTCAAGGAAATCTCTGTTAAAACACTAATTGAACAAAAGCTTAAAGGAACAGAGACTTCAATGACCAGATGTGACAAGGAATACAGTTATTGCAAAAATGGTTTGGAAAAGTAACTAAACAAAAGGACAACTGCAGCCTTTGACAATCATGAACAGCAACTCTGGAAAAGAGGTAGAATCTGATTTCCAGAGGTACTACATTATAATATTTGCACATCCAATTTTCAACAACAACAAAAACACAGATAATACAAAGAAACAGGAAAGTATGTCCCATTCAAAGTGAAAAAAAATTGAGTTAAATTGTCCCTGAGAACACCAAGACATTGAATTTACTAAACAAAGACTTTAAACCAACTGTCTTACATACATTCTAGGAGCTAGAGTAAACCATGGACAAGGAAGTAAAGGAAACCAGTAAAACTATGTATGAATAAAATGAGAATATCATAAAGAGATTGGAATTATGAAAGGCCACCAAATAGAAATTCTGGAGCTGAAAAGTACAACTAAAATGAAAAATTCATTACAAGAGTTTAACAAAATTAAGCAGACAGAAAAAAGAATCAGCAAATTAAATGTCCCAGATTTGATGAAAGATATGAATCTACACATCCAAGAAGCCCAACAAACTCCAAACAGGAGAAACTCAAAGAGACACTGAGACAAATTATAGTCAAATTGTCAAAAGCTAAAATCAACAGAAACAGCAAGAGAGAAGCAACTCATCACATGTAAAATGTTTAATAACACTAATAGCTTATTTCTCATCAGAAATCATGGAGACCAGAAGGCAGTGAGATATATCTAAAGTGCTGAAAGGGAAAACAAAAAACAAAACTGTCAAGCAAGAATTCTATATCCAGAAAGAATGGAGAAGAAATCAAGACAAAGCTAAAGGAGTTTGTTACTAGCAGATCTGCCCTGCAAGAAATGCTAAGGGAATCCTTCAGGTTGAAATGAAGGGACATTAGACAGTGACTCAAATCTATATGAAGAAATAAAGAACATTTATGGCAAATATGTCCTTGTTTTTCTTTTATATGTCTAAGTCTATGTTTCTCTTATTCTCTTTTCTCTCTGCCTTAATTTCACTCTCTTTAAAAGAGAAGTAATATGACAAAATAAGGAAGAACCCAGTAATAGGAGTTAGAAGACCTATATCGAACCATGCTCCAATCATTTGAGACTGTGAATCTGAAGACAAATTATTTCATGTTTGGAAGACTAAGTTTTTATGTAAAATAAGGAGAATATTCTGACTCTCATAAGTTGTTAAGATTAAGAGCAGTTTTCAAAGTATTAGATTTTTCATAAGCATTAATTGAAGTAAAAACTGAACACACTAGTCTCTTATCCTTTCTTTGTTCTTTAAACTGGCCACAGTATAGAGTTTTACTGTTTATGTTATATTATAGTATTAATAACTATATTGATGACTGCTATTAATTGAAGGAACTCTAAGGCAAATTGCTGACATTTACAGAAAGACTGTTTTGCATTGGCAATCATCCACATAATGCTGTCTTCTTTCTTTTCCAAGGATTTGAGTCAGAACACGTCTGTTAAGTGTGCATGCTTCCAGAGCTCACCTTAGATGCAGGTAACAGTGACTAATGATAATGATCAAAATCATAGGGAGTTCTCTTGTTAGTGGTTGGGACTCTGCACTTTCACTGCCAAAGGCACAGGTTCAATCCCTGGTCGGGGAACTAAGATCCTGCAAGCTGTGTGGCCAAAAATAAATAAACAAATAAATCACAATAACAGCAGCAGCAACCAATACATACCCTGCTTACCATGTGCCAGGCTACTCTAGTAAGGTAGGTATACTAGTATTCCTGAGGAAACTGACACACAGTGAAGTTAAGGGACTTGCACAATATTATATAACTTGTAAGCAGCAGAGCTGAGATAAAATAGGACCTTTATGATTGACTTGGGTAGTTACAATCTTACTGGTCTACAGAGAACAACAAAGAATGAGACAGAAGACTAGAGATAAATCATGGTGGGCGGAGACAGGGCAACAAGAGAAACTGCCTTTCCTCAAGGCAAAAAAATCACAAGCAAATTGATCCTGCTTTTTGCCATCCATTTGTCAGGTTTTTAAAGTGTTGTGTTGGGAAGGGAAGGAATGAGAAGAGATTTGAGAAGTTACTTATACTTTTTTGAGTTTTGCTATTAGGTCTAGACTAGGATATCACTTTGCTCCCATGGTGCAGGGTCAACAAAATCACCCAATATTCTCCCAGCCAAATGGCTTCTGTCTTAATTTCCTTTATTCAGTTATAGGGAGATGGGTCCTGGTAGCTCTAATATGTTATAAGTTTATTCATTCAACAATCATTTAGTGCTAAACACTGTGCTAGGTGTTGTTGAAATAAAGATAAATGAAATATGATCCTACTCCTTGAGAAGCTCACAGTCTGGTAGGGATGAGGGATGCAAACAAAAAAATGTTTAAATTGGAGGGATTCTAGGAGTGGTAGTGGGTAGCTCTCTCTAAAAATGGAAGATCTAAGAGGCACTGATCAAACAAAACTGTCTACAAAATTGGTAATTCTATATGGTTCAACCTAAGAGATGATATTTGAGCTAGTTCTTGTTGAGGGAAAAGAAGGGGCAAAGGAAGGTATTAGAGGCAAGTACAGAGGAGGCCACACTCCCTAACTTACAAGTGTAACACTATGTGCTTCTCACACTCATTTTACATAAAGCATCAGGAAATGAAAGAAAACACACACGTAACACCACTTTGATTTTTCTTGAAATTAGAGCATTATATCCTTTCTTCATAGAACAACTAATTAAAAGTTTGAAGTATCTTTTCTTGAATCCATTAATGGTAATCCTTTTTCCAAACTAAGACATGATAAAGACGTAAAAACTCTCAAAATCTCCCAACCATAAAATGTATTACATAGATAACAAAACACTAGAAATTCTGGTACATATTCATTTATACACATCTCAGATTTCCTGGGTTAGCTAGGAGCCCACAGAACTGTGGAGGTTTCTCGAGCGTGGTTATTTAAAAGTTATAATTTTGTTTGGCATTTTCCATGGGATTAGTCATGGGTAGTACATGAAGGTTGCAAAGTCTGAGCTACTTAGATGCTCAACGGTGTTTATCTTTTCATGGCCTTGATAAACAACTTAGCTGGCAGTTTTTGTTTAAAACTCACAAAATGTTCTTTCACCTGTTTAACTCATCATTATGTGGCTGCTAAGCACTGAGCCAGACTTGCAAGACCATGTTGGGAAAACAAGTTGGTCAGAAAACTTGCTTCCAATTAGGCTGTAGATTTACTGCCAACTTTGTTTAACCAGTGAATTTTGACTATAAGAGAGAAAGATCAGTCTTCTACTTCACTGAATGGATGAATCAGTTCCACTGCCACCATCAAATTTCCAACCCCAGATAGCACGAAGTTCCAGTGTGCTCCTAGTCAGACTAACTGTACTCTAGGAGAGCGCAAGGAGATGCGCAGAAACAAACAAGGTGGCCATTCTGTGTGTGCTTGTTTTGCCACGTTTCCCTCCCTAATTACACATTTCCACTCTCAAATCTCCACCAACAAATACTACACTGGAACTATACTATGACTCCTACTGTCGTCCTTGAATGTCAAAGATGCCAATATAAAAGTTTCAACTACTTTAGTGAAGGTTCAAGTATTTTCCAAAATCTGTTGTTTCATTTCCCCCCAGGATTATTAAAAAGCACAGTCTGTTATGGAAAAACCATAGTAAAAACTGGACTTATGTCACAATCAAATAGTGGTACAGCAAGTAAATGATTTGATGTGAAGTAATATAAAAAGTTCTCTTTAACCTATGGAAGGAAATACCTTTTCCTTTAAGAGGAGGGAAACATAATTAATTTATTTAAAAAGTCCACTAATATTCAGATGTAAGTGCTTGCTTTCATAGCTCTACTGCAAAACTTTAATATTCTTAATTTAATACTACTCAAAATAAATAAAAATTAGGACACCAAAATCTTCTCCTATCCCTGGGACAGCAACTTTTTCTGCAAAGGGTCAGAAAATATTTATTTTAGGCTTGGTTGTGGGGTGGGGGAGGATCTATACCATTTGTATCACGATTACTCACCCTTGCTCTTGCGATGTCAAAGCAACAGCGCAGACAACACTTACACAACAGAGTGTGGCTGAGCTCCTATAAAACCTTATTTACAAAACCAGGCAGTCGACTGGCTGATTCCTGTTTTAGCCCCTAAATCATCTTACACAAGGAAATGCAAACTATCCTTTAAATGAGAGAACAAATTTTTTTTTTTTAATACTCAGTGGTAGGAGGGATGAAGTGAAAGAGGGAGAAATTTTTAAAAAACATACAGATACAGTCAGGAAGGGATTAGGTTACCTTCTGTGGATCTGAATTCTTCTCCCATTGAAGTACTCTTCATACCCAGGTTATCATCACTGTCACATTCTGTAAGGAAGAATCAATAAATTCAAATGTACTTCTGAAAAAGTTATTGTGCCATAATTTATGTATTCTAAGACAATGTGACTTTCAATGACTTCTCCCATACCCAAGCTTACTAATTACAATCCATTAGTATTACACAACTTTCCTTAGAGATCTGTGTGTTTTTTAATGCTTACCAAATATTATTTAAATTGAGAAAAAAAATAAAAATGAATGAAACAGGCAATTTGATTTTGGCTCCATATTTTAAAAATTATTTGAAAAAGTTCTTTTTGCATGTTGAGGAAATATAAAATCCTAGTATATTTTAAAAAACTGTAAATTTTAAAAAGCTAGTATGTTTATTTGGATCTAGCAAATAAACTCCAAAGTTTCATTTGCATGAAATCATCTTTAAAAGATTTTTAAGGATGACAGATAAAATACTCCTGTATTTTGAAAATCATATGCATTCATCTCTATAGAGACCATAGATTTATATTAACAGTGTCTCTGCATGGCACAAACTCACTTGATGCCTTATATGCCTACTGAGAGACCTAAGGCTTTAAAATAATGACATGATTGACCGGATATTACAAAAGTCACTTAAAATATGAACGTGGTACCATCAGGGACCCAGTATTTGGCTTTCCACCTTAACTACCTTTAAATCAATTTCTATCAGAGTGACTGAATCAGGGTTTAAATAACCCTGATTGTGTATTCAATACAAATCACATGGATATATTTGCTTCTGTGAAAATATATAAAAACTTAAAATATACATTTAAAAATTTATCAATATATCATTGTTTATAAATAAAACCCACTATATTTCTCTTATATTCCTTTGCTGCAAAAATTTATTACGAGTCACCTTTTGCTATTCCAGCAAAAAAACTATTGCTTTTTCTACAATATGTTATATACACCTACTACTTCAAATATTTCAAGCTGTGTTTTAGTGAAATAAAACATTACATTTACAATTTGAAGAACAAAAACTTTAGTCTTAAAACATTAGGAACAAAGAGAAAATACCCAAGGTTTCTTTTATTACAATTCAAAGTCAAGGCCAGTCAAAAGCAGCATGTGGTAACTGGCCTAAACAATTCATCATGGCAACCAAGACCTAAGGCAAAACTGCAGGTTTGAATCACAAGGTTTAGCTTGACACTAGGCTGTAAAAATTTTTAAAGGTTCCATTTGCCTCAATCAGCCCCATCTGTAGAACAGAGAAAATCATGAATTTTTTTCCCTATTTTTCAGTACCTTGCACAGAATTAACTGTATCATATAGATTTTTAGGATGGTGCCCAAAGCAACAACCTATATAGTCTCATCAACAGGCTAAGCAAGCAGGCAGATAGATGCTTAGAATTAGGTTCAACAACTGTTTCACATAGGGCATGCCACTGCTTCAATCACCTACACTTTCACAGCACGGGTGAATTAGTATGTTCAATTTTTAAGATGGCTTTAAAAACCTGTATAATTGGTACCAACCATACTTAATGCCTTCATCCCATTCATTCCAAAATGAAGACACAAACCAAACAGACATAACAAAGTCCCAGGGCCATAAACCAGACAGCCCAAGGACAGTGTTCAGATTCAACAAAAATCATGTCAAAGCACAGTAAAGTCTGTTTTCAATTTAAATTCACTAATTCATAACAGCCTTTGCTCAAGTCCCTCCTCGCATTACCTAAGAAAAAATATTCTAGGAAAGTTCAAACTTTACATAAAACTGGAAGGAAGATGTTTAATTACCGAAGAACTATAAACAACTGAATACGCAAAACTGTGTTTTTAAAAACTGTGTTTACATAAAGCAAACAACGTTCTTGAACTAACCTACAAGATACAGGCAAGTTCTATTACATAAACAGATCTTTAAGAGCCCAGAGAATTTTTTTATATAAGCAATGGCGGTGACCAATGAAATAGGAGAAAACAGCAACTCAGAAATTCAGTCATCAAGAATGTGGTTGAAGTAGGTCCAATAACACAACACTCTGGAAAGTAAAAGCAAACAAACAAACAAAACCTTAAAATGTATGGTCAAGACAGTAAAAACAAGTAGCATAGTTATTTTATTTTACAAAGAGCATACTACAAGCCAGGAGCAACGTCACAGGGTAAATAAAAATGGTGCTAGCGTGGTCCCTTTAACTCAGCCTGCCCTCACACTGAGACTGCATTTCTACAGTCTGAAGAAAAGAAAATGGGGCTTCTTGGTTTACTTACAAGACAAAAGATCCCAGGGAATTTACAATGATAAGTTGGCTATGCTTGACACATAATCAGCTTACTTTTTAAAGTACCAGAACCCACAATCAAATCTTTTTACCTTCTAGGAAAAAGAAAAAAAAAAAAAGCATCTTCCTAAATGTATTTTCATCTACACACACTCTGCACTGTCGTTAGACTTCAACAGAGCGTCTCATCTTCATTCCTCAAGGACATGGTAAGAGCGAACAATGCACAATGGATTCTCTACATAATAAAATCAGGGCTTTGTGTCAGTGAAAGCCTCAGCCTTCACAGCTGATGGCTGTGTGGCCTCAGGCAGCTATTTTAACCTTCCTGGGTCTCTGCTCCCTCATCTATGAAAGGGGGCGATCTAATACATCCTAACTGACAGCGTTGAAAAGAGGATTAAACAACACGCAGAAGTTCTTTGAACATGTTTAAACATCTTCAAACACTACAAATCCAAAAGGCAGCTAGCATGGTGGCTGGCACACAGTAGGTCCTTAATAAAGGTTAGTTCCTTTTACTTCTTTAAAACATTGAAATGACAAGTGATATCTGCATCTTTGAAACATGAGGCTTGAGTTAGAATGAACACATATTTGTGAATAAAGTGTGAAAAGCATAAAAGAAGAAAAAGTCTACCTGGCTCCTCTGACTAGGATCACTAGAAAGGATCCATGTATCTTGGTAAATTTTTAAAAAGTGAAAATGAGTACAATATAAAATAGAACTGATGAAGGATAAGGGGCCCAAAGGTGTCAATTCAGGACAGATTAGTATTTTTACACATCTCTACAGGGATTTACACATATATCATAGCTGTAATCAAAACGTTGGTGCTGGAACCTTGATGCATGAAGGAGAGTGAGTTTAAAGGGCAAAACCCATGACACATTCAAATCTCAAACTTAGTATAAAGGCTCACCTTGCTAGAGAGGGTAACTGATTTAACCCAAGTCAGAGATCTAAGTAGCAGCAGTAGCACTACTTACCTGTCCTCTCCCTACCAAGCAAAGATATAATAAGACCTTATGACCAAATGACTGACATTCATACATGGAGCCAGCAACTTCCCAATACCTCTATTTCTACTGAAATAAGTATCTCCTGAAAAAACTTTCAATTAACTGAAAAACTGGCAAAAAAAGAAAGTATAAGATACCATATGATCATTGATTCTGAAAACATTATTCAACAGATTCTTCCTGTTTACACAGGAGTAATAAAACCACTTTATGGTCCTAATAATGGAAAATTTCTGAAAAGTTATAAAGAAATAAGAGGTTCAAGCTTATATCATTTGTCTATGCTATGGCAGAGATTTTAAAAACGTGAAAAATCATCACAATGCTTATAAAACATGAGAGAACTTCTCACTGTGTTACTTGTAAGAGAGTTTGTGGGGTGGCTCGTTGGTAACTAGGAGCCTTGAAACGACAGATCCCCGAAGCTGTATGTGATATTGTATGTACAGTAAGTCCCCTACATACAAACAAGTTCCGTTCCAAGAGCGCGTTCGTAAGTCCAACAAAATTAGCCTAGGTACCCAACTAACACAATCAGCTATATAATACTGTACTGTAATAGGTTTATAATACTTTTCACACAAATAATACATAAACAACAAACACAAAAAATAAAGAAAGCATTTTTAATCTTACAATACAGTACCTTGAAAAGTACAGTAGTACCAGCTACATCACCGCTGCTTTTACGCTTGCTTCTGGACATCCTGGGCTTGAAATAAAGATACTGTACTACTGTACTCTATATAGTAATGTACAGTACACAAAAACACAACCACTTATAGAGGATGCACACACGTGACAAGGTACGCCAGACACGTGAACTAACTTATGTGATTGGACATGCGAACGCACGTTTGTATTTTTGAAAGTTTGCAACTTGAAGGTTCGTATGTAGGGGACTTACTGTAAATGTCCATTTGGGGGAAAGAGGTTTGGAAAGCTTTTTTCAGATTCCCAAAAAGGTCCATCGACGCCTACCCCCAAACCACACTGCCTTAAAATAATTGGTTGTCAGATCTGAAGATACGACACTGGGTTAAGCTAGATGAAAGGAGTGACCCTGGCATTCTTGTGGTAACCAAAACTACACTACAGGCCCAACACGAACTGCAGTATCTGTGGACACTGAGAGATGTTTCTCAGTCCCAATACATATTAAATATCATTTCTTAACAAAGACTGTTACTCTACTATTCAGAAAGCCATTAGGAAAGGTGAAGGAATAAAGTTACCCAAGAAAGTCACTGTTCTTTGATTTTTCTTATTATAAAATTTATTAGCAGGCAGTTTGATGCCTTTCAGTCTTCCATGAAGAAAAAAATTTGTCTTGAACTGAATCTGAACATACTGTGATTCAGCATAATATTTTTTTAAATTTTAGAGTTACAAAAGCATCTTTAAACCCAGACCTAAATAAAATATGTGACTTAAAGACTACACTTCTTTGGCCACTTGATTTTAATAATTTTCTTTACTTTTAAAATGTAGTGGCTATAGCACATGAAAAGATGCTCTACGTCACTAACCATTAGGGAAATGGAAATCAAAAACAAAATGAGATACCACTTCACACCCATTAGGATGGCTACTATAAAAACAAACAAAAATCAGAAGATAACAATTGTTGGCAAGGATGCAGAGAAAATGGAACCCTTATGCACTACTGGTGAGAATATAAAATGGTACAGTCCATGTGGAAAATTAGTATAGAGATTTCTCAAAAAATTAGAAAAAGGACTTCCTTGGTGGCGCAGTGGTTAAGAATCCACCTGCCAATGCAGGGAACACGGGTTTGAGCCCTGGTCTGGGAAGATCCCACATGCTGTGGAGCAACTAAGCCCATGCACCACAACTACTGAGCCTGCGCTCTAGAGCCCACAAGCCACAACTACTGAGCCTGCGTGCCACAACTACTGAAGCCTGCGCGCCTAGAGCCCATGCGCCGCAGCAAGAAAAGCCACCACAATGAGAAGCCCGTGCACCGCAACAAAGAGTAGCCCCCACTCACCGCAATTAGAAAAAGCCCTTGAGCAGCAACGAAGACCGACACAGCCATAAATGAATGAATGAATGAATAAATTAGAAATAGAATTACCATATGATCCAGCAATTCCACTTCTGGGTATGTACTCATAAGAACTGAAAGGAGGATCTCGAAGAGATGTCTGTACCCCCATGTTCACAACAGCATAATAGCTGAAGCATGGACGCAACCCAAGTGTCCATCAATGGATAAACGGATAAGCAAAAGGGGGTATATACATACAATGGACTATTATTCAGCCTTAAAAAGGAAGGACATTTTGACATAGGCTACAACATGGGTGAAACCTGAGGACATTTTGCTCAGTGAAATAAGCCAGTCACAAAAATACAAAGGCTGCATGATTTCACTTACACGACATACTTAGAGCAGTCAAATTTATAGACAGGAAACAGAATGGTGGCTGCCAGGAGCTGGGGAAAGGGGAGTGTGTTGTTGTTTAATGGGTATGGAGTTTCAGTTTTGCAAGATGCAAAGAGTTCTGGGGATGGATGGCGGTGATGGCTGCACAACAATGTAAATGCAGTTAATACCACTCAACTGGAGACTTCAAAATGGTTAAGATGGTAAATCTTATGTATATTTTACTACAATGAAAAAAATGGAAAGAAAAACAAAAAATATATAGTGGCTAGGAACCATATTTCCTTTTTACAGTAGTAATAATTAATAATAGCTGCTATTTACTGAGCATCTATGCTCTTTCCTATGCTATGCTAGACACTATACGTATCACTAATTCTTACAACCTTATAGATATGAAAAGTGAGACTCAGAAAAAGTTGAGTAACTTGCCTGAAATCGCACAGCTAAGAAGCAGAAGTCAGTATTCGAATCAAAGACCATGCCCTTCTTTATGCACTGCATGGTCTCTGTATTTCACAAAAATTCAGAATAAAGTATACATGTGTCCCCAAAGAGCAGTAAGTTCAAATGAGCACTGATTACAAATGAATGATTAAAAATACCTAGAGAATTCTATATTCTGACATAGAGAGTGGTTTATGACACTGATGAGTGAAAAAGGAAATTAAAGTATATGTCAAAAAAAAAAAAAAGGCTAGAGCATAAGAGACATTCAGAAAAGAACATCGGTATCTAATAATAACCTATACTTTACCTCCAACCCTAATATACCCATGCAGACCTACTCATATGTAGCTCTCGTTCCAAATAAAGTTGAAAAAAGGCAAATCCATTACAGGTCTCATGTTCTAAATTACAAAAGAAATGCTCCCCACAGCAGCAGCACACGAGGAAGAAAAGGGGGTGGGCCTAGGTAGCAAAGGTAAAAATTTAAATATTTTTCAAGATATTAAGTAGATGTTGTTAAGGATTGGGGAAGGGATGGTAAAAGAATGGGAGAAAGAGAGATTAAAAAAAGCCACAGACACACAGGGCACTCCATTCAATACTCTGTAATGACCTATATGGGAACAGAATTTTAAAAAGAGTGAATAGGGACTTCCCCGGTGGTCCAATGGTAAAGAATCTGCCTTCCAATGTGGGGGACGCAGGTTCAATCCCTGGTCAGGGAACTAAGATCCTACATGTCGTGGGGCAACTAAGCCCACGCACCACAACTACTGAGCTTGCGCACCTCAACGAGAGAGCCCACGTGCACAAACTACAGAGCCCACGCGCCCTGGAGCCCATGGGCCACAACTAGAGAGAGAAAACCCGCACACCACAACTAGAGAGAAGCCCACACACCGCAACTAGAGAACTAGAGAGAAGCCTGTATGCTGCAATGAAGATCCCACATGTCGCAACTAAGACCCCACACAGCCAAATAAATAAATATTTTAAAAATAATATATAAATAAAAGAGTGGATATATGTATATGTATAACTGACTTACTTTGTTGTACAGCAGAAACTAACACATTATAAATCAACTATACTCCAATATAAAAATTAATTAAAAATTTTAAGAAAAGGAAGAAAAGAAAAGAAAAAAACCCGCCACAGACAGAAAAAGCAAGTGAATGAAAACAGAAACCACAGAATAGGAAGACAAAATTCAGTACTAAATCATGACATAAATATGCAAAACAGAGCTGATTTTCTTTCAAGAGCGCAATTGTGCCAGTAGCTTAATGGTTCCTAACTTTGCAAAGTGAATTGAGCCAACGCAATGAGTGGTTAGAGCAAAGTTCTTCAGAATAGATCTTCAATCAAAATGTGGCTCTATATATGTAGAAAGAAGAAAACAGCTAGGAGGAGAGCACACTTGGACAATTTAAAGGCATATAATAAAAATTCCAAAAAGCAGTCAGTTTTTCATTGAGGTCATTCATCAATACCTTCAAACCATATTCATGGCTGCAAATTATTAGGATATTTAAAAATTACTCTTTTATTCTCTCCTACCCACATTTCAGAAATTACAAAAACCAAAACCAAAACCAAAACCCATCTGGATCCCTAGAATTACATCCTTTCTTAAATACTAGTTAGTGAAATTGGACATCAGCATGCCCTTTCATTGAACAATCTCAGAAAGGCAGAGAAGAGTGTAGGACAGGGGATGCCTAGCCCTTCAAGGCAATAAAGATCTCTCAGGGCATCGTTTTGTCACTGTCAACCTCTTAAATTTTTATTTTTTAATTTTTTGGTATTGCCATATTAGCATTTATTGCTTTCTGATTTCTCCTATAAGCACTTTGCTTTCTGAAAAACTGAAGATAAATTTAGAATTTTAGAAATGAAATGAAGATCTGGATTCTGAGCTTTGCAAAACTATACTAGCATATTTCAAACCATAAGTATATATTTTAAATATATGAATATAAATTTTATTCATTAGATTAAAAATGGGCTCTAAAATATTATGAATTCATTCTCCTTCTAATACACTCAAAGTGAAAGTGAGATAAGAGAAAAAATACAATAGCAGCATGAGCGCGTGGCGGTTTAGTGAGCAGGCAGCAGGGCACTAGTGGAGAGCAGTTTATTGGTTTCTCATCAATAAGTGAAGTGAAGTCTCTTCCTCTTGGGCAGTTGGCACTGTGGCTACAGCTGCATACCTTTGGTCGTATCAGATATGCTATTTAACAAGGCACACATCATATCTCCCTCTAAGTGGTGAGGGTTGAGTATATGTGCTGGCCTCTGAGTCTTCTTAAATTGATTCTCTAGCTCCAGAAAACCTTGATCTCCTGAGAGGATGGTGAAAGGAATCTGCTTGGGCAGTTGTTCATCCAGACGGCCAGCCTAAGTTGGAAAAAATGGCACAAGTTGATAAAGATCAGCATCTGAGCTTCCAGTCAAGTTACAGCTATTTCAGAATGAACACATACCTAGAAACGTGTATTTAGGTTGTTCCCTTGCTCCCACCAAAGTATGATATAAAGATCTCGTTCATAAATGAAATATACCATATTTAATCAAATATAAAATGCTGTCAATTATAAGATAAGCTCTTTTATATGCCACTAAGAAAGAAAGAAAAAAAAAGCCAAAAAGAATATAACAGGAGGCCCCCACATAAAGGTGGAACACTAACAGGGCTACACGCTCAACCTGAGGGTAAATAAAAAATGAATCTGCCATAGAGAAAAGGTAAGTAATTTGCATAACTCAATCCTAGAACTGGCTAGATGGAAAAAGAAACTATCTGTGGTTTAAAACATAAGCAGCAGTCAACAAGTTTGCAGAGTATCAGTGTGACACAGAAACCCTTAAGCAGAGAATTTAATTTAAACTGGGTCTCAGGTGGGTTGTTTCTCCAGGTGACTAGCAGAGACAGAAGCAAATACAAATTCCATCTGGGTCAACAGTGACTGCTATGGTGCCCCCCCATTTCAGAGATGTTAAAATGTGAAAGTGCCTCATGCATCAAAGAGTGTCATCTCCTGATAATTTATTCTAGAAATAGCTGAGGGTCCACTATGAGTAGCTGAGAGTCTGTTGGAACTGGGGATGAAGCAGTAAACACATGCTATGGGTTCCTGCCCTCAACACTCATAAGTAGAACCTGATGCAAAAGGTTTTATACAAAAAGCACAACACTGAAAAGGAATCTACAGTGTCATTATGATTCAAGAGGGGAAAAAATCCAAATGGATCCTAGCTTCACGTTTGATTTTGAATAAAACAATGACTCACATGCATACATATGGCAAAATCAGCAGCATCTTTTCTTTTACTACAGCGAGGGTGAAGGAAGAAGCACCCAATCCTGTTTAGGTAATTATAGATCTTACAGTTGACGGGAGGCTTCCAGTTGGTATTTCCTCCTATTATTTTTAGAAAAGGCATAAATGATGAGTCAAACAAGAGAAAAAGAACAGAACACTAGATACAACTGAAAACTCTATAAGGAAAAACAAATACTAGAAAAAAATGTTTCTATAGGAAAAGTACCAGATTAGAAGGCAGAACAAGGCAGTTCTCGTGCAGGTAACACCAGGTTGTTGCTTAAATCTTGGGGAAGTAGACCGACTTCCCCAAATCTGCCTATTAATCTGAAAACTCACAGGGATGTTAAGCAGAATCAAACGTAATGTGTATGAAAATTCTTTGACTGCTGTTGTTCTATATGAATGTACGCATTAGTGGTTTTTTACAAATATGTCAAGGCTGCTCAGTGAATAAAAATGATGTGCAATCAGGAAAGCTGGACTTACTAAGAGGTTGTACTGACTACCTTATCCAGGTCAGCATGTTTCTATCTTAAATCCTAATCGTCTTCTTTATATGCTGCTTGCTGTCAAACATGGCATGCATACCTTGTTTCACTGCACTTTGCTTTACTGAGCTTTGCAGATACTGTGTTTTTTACAAATTGAAGGTTGGTGGCAACCTTGCATTGAGGGAGCTCATCGATGTCATTTTTCCAACAGCATTTGTTAACTCTGTGTCACATTTTGTTAATATTCGCAATATTTCAAACTTTTCCATCATTATTTTATTTGTTATGGTGATCTTTGATGTTACTATTGTAATTGTTTGGGGGTGCCATGAACCATGTCCATACAAGAAGGCAAACTTAACTGATAAATGTTGTGTGTGTTCTGACTGCCACACCGACTGGCCCTTCCCCCGTCTTTCTCCCTTCCCTTCCCGCCTCCCTTTTCCCCGAGACACAATATTGAAATTAGGCCAATTAATAACCCTACAATGGCCTCTAAATGTCCAAGTGAAAGGAAGAGTCTCACTTTTTTAAAATCAAAAGCTAGCAATGATTAAGCTTAGTGAGGAAGGCATGTCAAAAGCCAAGACAGGCTGAAAGCTAGGCCTCTTGCACCACAAAGTTACCCAAGCTGTGAATGCAAAGGAAAAGTTCTTGAAGGAAATTAAAAGTGCTACTGCAGTGAACAAATGAATGATAAGAAAGTGAAACATTATTGCTGATATGGGGAAAGTCTGAGTCTCTGCATAGAAAATCAAATGACCACAATATTCCCTTAAGCCAAAACCCAATCCAGAGCCTAGCCCTAACTGCCTTCAATTCTATGAAGACTGAGAGAGGTGACGAAGCTGCAGAAGCAAAGTCTGAAGCTAGCAGAGGTTGGTTCATGAGGTTTAAGGAAAGAAGCCGTCCCCATAACATTAAAGTGTAAGGTGAACCAGCAAGTGCTGATGTAGAAGCTGCAGCAAGTTATCCAGAAGATAAGTCCTAAGATAATTCATGAAGGTGGCTGCACTAAACAAAAGATTTTCAGTGTAGGCAAAACAGCCTTCTATTGGAAGAAGATGACATCTAGCAGTTTCACAGATAGAGAGAAGTCAATGCCTGGCTTCAATGTTTCAAAGGACAGGCTGACTCTCTTGTTAGGGGCTAATGCAGCTGGTGACTTTAACTTGAATCCAATGCTCGTTTACCATTCTGAAAATCCTAGGGCCCTTAAGAATTAAGCTAGGACTTCCCTGGTGGTGCAGTGGTTAAGAATCCGCCTACCAATGCAGGGGACACGGGTTCAATCCCTGGTCCGGAAGATCCCACAAGCTGCGGAGCAACTAAGCCCGTGAGCCACAACTGTTGAGCCTGTGCTCTAGAGCCCGCGAGCCACAACTATTGAGCCCTCATGCCACAACTACTGAAGCCCGTGCGCCTAGAGCCCGTGTTCTGCAACAAGAGAAGCCACTGTAATGCGAAGCCCATGCACTGCAACGAAGAGTACCCCTGCTCACCACAACTAGAGAAAGCCTGCACGCAGCAACAAAGACCCAATGCAGCCAAAAATAAACAAATAAATAAATAAATTTACTTTTAAAAAAAAGAAAGAAAAAGAATTAAGCTAAATTGACCCTGCTTATGCTCTATAAATGGAAAAACAAAGCCTGGATGACAGCACACCTGTTTATAATACGGTTTCTTGAATATTTTAAGCCCACTTTTGAGACCTACTGCTCAGAAGAATCCTTTCAAAATATTACTGCTCATTGACAATGCACCTGGTCACCCAAGAGCTCTGATGCAGATGTACAATGAGATTCATTTTGTTTTTATGTCTCCTAATGCAATATTCATTCTCTAGCCCATGGATCAAGGAGCAATTTTGACTTTGAAGTCTTATTATTTAAGAAATAAATTTCGTAAGGCTACAGCTGCCATAGGTAGTGATTCCTCTGATGGATCTGGGCAAAGTAAATTGAAAACCTTCTAGAAAGGATTCACCATTCTAGGTACCATGAAGGACATTCATGATTGGGAAGATGTGAAGAAAGCAAAATATCAGCATGCATGGGAGTTTGGAAGAAGTTGATTCCAACCCTCATGGATGACTTTGAGGGGTTCAAGAATTCAGTAGACAAAGGAACTGCAAATGTGGTGGAAACAGCAAGAGAACTAGAATTAGAACTGGAGTCTGAAGATGTGACTGAATTGCTGCAATCTCAGGATAACACTTGAATGGATGAGGAGTTGCTTCTTATGGATGAGCCAAAAGAAAGTGGTTTCTTGAGAAGGAACGCACTCCTGGTGAACATGCTGTGAAGACTGTTGAAATGACAACAAAGGATTTAGAATATTACATAAGCTTAGCTGATAACACAGGAGCAGGGTTTGAGAAGACTGACTCCAATTCTGAAAGAAGTTCTACTGTGGGTAAAATGCTATCAAACACCACTGCATGCTACAGAGAAATCGTTCATGAAAGGAAGAGTCAACCAATGCAACACACTTCATTGTTGTCTTATTTTAAGAAACTGCCGCAGCCACCCCAGCCTTCAACAACCCCCAGCCTGATCAGTCAGCAGCTATCAGCATGGAGGCAAGACCCTCGCCTAGCAGAAAGATTACGACTCACTGAAGGCTCAGGTGATGGTTAGCATTTTTTTAGCAATAAGGTTTTTTTTTTGGCTGCGTTGGGTTTTCGTTGCTGCCTGCAGGCTTTCTCTGGCTGTGGTGAGCAGGGGCTACTCTTTGTTGCAGTGTGCGGGCTTCTCATTGCAGTGGCTTCTCTTGTTGCGGAGCATGAGCTCTAGGCACAGACTTCAGTAGTTGTGGCACTCGGGCTCAACAGTTGTGGCTCGCGGGCTCAACAGTTGTGGCTCGCGGGCTCTAGAGTGTAGGCTGAGTAGTTGTGGCACGTGGGCTTAATTGCTCCACGGCATATGGGATCTTCCTGGACCAGGGCTCAAACCCATGTTCCCTGCATTGGCAGGTGGATTCTTAACCACTGTGCCACCAGGCAAGTCCCAAGGTATGTTTTAATTAAGACTTCTTTTAGACATAATGTTGTTGCTCACTTAATAGACCACAGTATAGTATAAACATAACATTTATATGCACTGGGAAACCAAAAAATTCATGTGACTTGCAGTGGTCTAGAACTGAACCAGCAGAATCTCCTAGGGATGCCTGTACATCAGAGGCTCACTGTACTAAGCCTCAGTTAATCAAAGAGGAATCTCTCTCCCAGGTTTGGTCAATGGTCTATCAAGAGATTTAGACTACAGCCATACCACCCTGAATGCACCCGATCTCATCTGATCTCGGAAGCTAAGCAGGGCTGGGCCTGGTTAGTACTTGGAAGGGAGATTTATGTGAAGATGCACATTTATGAACAGTAAGGCTGAAGTGAAGAGGCAGTTATGTTGAAAACACACTAGTCCTGTAGTCATGAGGCCCAAGTTTGAAAGCTAACTCTACTATTTATTATTTTTGTACTTTGTGAAAAGTAAACTTCTCAGCCTTCTTCCTTATATTTTAAAGGGTGAAAATTATAACAATCAGTAAGCATGCATTAGTACCAAGTACAGTATCTGGCGCATTGTAGGTATTGAATAAAGGCTCCTTCAATCTGTATCTAAAGATCCACAAACTGTGGGTCACCAGGTAGAGTGAATATTTACCACAGAGAAATGTAAAGAGAAAAATATTCTAGCAGAGTAATTATAATGCAAAGTGACTAAATTCCAATTATGTTCCTATCTTCTATTCAGGAAGGTTCAAAAGGAGTCCTTTTAAAGCAAATCACATTCTAAGGGGGAAAAAAAGGGAGGCTGTCTCAAATGTGTTCCTTATTAACCATACCTTGAAAGCCCCAAATAAATGTTCCTTGGTTAAGATTCCCTGGTAGATGACCAAAAAAGTTGGACCAGTTATCAAAGTCTACAAAGACTATGTGAGTCATGGTTCGCAGGTAATCCAAGTCTGGGAGCTCAACAACCTCTTCATCTGAGAAGAGAGAAACATCAACATGAATTTGACAACTTTTTAATTTGTCAACTTAATATTAACCTTGCATGTTATTTACTTCTATCTAAACCATGTTGTGAAATCCAAACCTGTATATGACACAATATATTTATATCAGATAAGAAATATTTTGAATATTTCAGAAATAATTATCCTTTCGACAAATATGTACCATTGATCCTGGCTTTCTTTAAAAGTCACTTATAAAAGAAAGTTTTTAAAAAATTAGTACACTGGAAGATATGGAAGACCAAGTTTTAAGGTTAAATAACTAAAAACTTGCACCATCCATCAAAATAAACTTTCAGGGTTACTTGCTAAGAACTTTCTCGCCGCCAGGAGTTTGTTCTTTTCCTAATGTAGACTGACTCATCAGCAGCCCTCTGGCTCTGTGCTCACACTCCCGAGAGCAGACACGAGACAGCCCACAAGAGGCTCCTGTGGCTCGTGCAGAACAGGGCCCGGTGCTCCTCCCACCAAGGACACCTCTTCCTCAGTCAACTCAGGGCCTCTCACCTCCCACCATCTGCAGCTCTTGTTCTCCCTCCTCTTCCCTTCTTTCATACCTTTCACTTTGACAGGGCCTTACAGTTTCGAGTGGTAGCAATGCAAGCCTTAAATGTTTATACTATTTTTAAAATGGATAGCTTCTACTCCACCTACTGGAGACTCCCTCAGAAAAAGACTGCTATCTTCCCATTTCCAAACCACCCATCTTCTTATCTATCTTCTTAAAATACTAATAGATACAATAATGACCTCCTATCAGACACAGACCAACAAAAATCCCCCAAAAGCAATCACAAGAGCAAAAGGAAAACAACAGAACATAAAATAGTGTGACCACGGTTTCACTGTTTTGACATCGAGTTGAATGGATCAATAGTATGTTATTTAATCATTTCTCACATAAAACATGCCGTGACTAAAGGCAATGTTGAGATCTACATGTGCTACAGAGCAAGCCTATAAAAACTCAGTAATTCATAAACATACTTTATGAACCAAAATACTCACATATTTCATTTTTTCCACTCGACACTGTATAACTTATGAAGAGTTAATCTTTAAAAGAATATACTTAAAATTATACTCTAAAGAAAACAATTTACTTCTAAACAAAATGAAAACACTGCACTCTCCTAGACTTCCTTAATCTTATCATAGAAGAAGGGAAGCCTAGAGTAAGCACAGACAAGGGATCCATACCTCAGTTTTCTGCCTGGTTTCTTGCTACCACTTAACAACTCAACTTCTAATTGCTATTTTAACTCTAAGTAAAAGCTTTCCTTCCGAAGACGGTAACAAAAATATACAAATTCTCAAGTGACCTTTAAAACTTCTCATACTTATAGAATAAGGTCAAAATAGAAATAAAAAGAATTCACCTGATTTATCTTTTTATTGAACTTAAATCTAAAAGACAATAACGTGCAGGATAACTTTCAAATCTGACTTTCAGAAGGACCATCTATTTCCCTCATCTTTCAAAATTCCCATGTCTTTTGGAAAAGAAAAGAAAATGTTACCTAAAGTACCTATTATTTAGCGTAACAGATATTCCTTGTGCCCTTAGGTTGAGAGAGTGGCTGTCTGAAGCTGCAGGAATACAGATCCCTCCCGGTAAAGTGCACGCCGCGGTAACTCACTGGCCAACGTATCAGCCCATCAAGTCCCGGCTTCAACACTGGCTCCCTAGGAGCAAAGAGGGTGGCTACACATGCGCGTGTTTCTAAGCGGAAATGCGAAACGTGTACGGACGTCAGGGTTGTGGAGCCGTACCTGTACTCTGACAGCTCACGTCAGTCTCGGCTCCTCTCTCCGGGTCTGAAGTCTGTGGACAGCTTGCTGCCTGTCTCAGCTTTCTCTCTGCACAGGAGGAACTGGCAGCAAACGTGTACGGGCTCGTCTGCTCAGGCCCGAAGCAGGCCACGCTGGGTTCCCGCAGGAAGCAGTGTTTCCTGTGGAAGTGCTGCTGCGCGCTCTCGGGGTCCTGGAAGGCTCTGGTGCAGGTGCCGCACTTGATCAGGCACGGCGGCGTGCCCTCCGCGCCCTCCAGCTCCGCGTGCACCTGGCGCACGTGTGCCAGCATGTCATCCATGGCCTGCGCCGTGGCCGAGCACACGCCGCAGCGGAACCACAGGCGGCCCTGGCCCAGGAGAGTCTGCAGACAGCGAGCGTGGTCCTCCCTTCTGTTGACTTTGCAGAGGTAGCTCTCCCGGCAGCCGCACGTCAGTAGGTTACCGGTCTCTATAACTGGAATATCACTCTCGGTTTTAATGGAAGTTTCCGTTTTTTCTGACACAAATACATAGTCTATGCTGTGGTGCTCCTTATAATGACTCAGAAACGCTTCTTCCACATTAAAGATCAGATCACAAAGTCCACAGAAATACTTCATCTTTATTTCGTTGTCATGCTGATCTTGGCAATGTCGATACAGTGTTTCCATCTTGTGAAAAGTCTTTTTGCAATGGGCGCAGCTATACCTATGAAACTGGTGACTTGCTAAAGACATGCAGTGTTGTTTCACACATTCTTGGGAGTCAAACATATCTTCACAAATTCGGCATTGCCATTTACCGCTTGAAGGACTGGTTGCTGGGGAATGATCAAGAATAGTAATAGTTGAAAAAGGATTATCAGCAGTCAGATCATTCACCAACGTTGTAGAGGATGACGGCAAAGTGTCACCTTCTACCTCATCTGTCTCATAAAAATACCTGTGTCCATTATGAAACTCAGTCACATGGGCCATTATAGCCTCTTTCCTTGCCAATTCCTTTTTGCATGTCCGACACCAGAAAAGAAAGTTATTTAAATGTGCCCCTCCATGAATGCGGCTCATATGTAAACGGATGACTCCTGAATCTTCACACACCTTCCCACAGACCACACACTTATAACACATCGTGTTTGCTGAGAAAACGTGCTTTTCTACTGCATCTTCACTTGGGAAGCGTTGCTGGCATTCACAAAACCAGGTTTTAACAAGTGACTTTTCCTTCTGAACACAAACCATACCCCCATGGCTTTTATCTCCTAAATTAATCTTCTTTTTTGGAACAGTGCTGCAATCTTCTGAGCTAGATTCTCGAACGGACATATTTCTTTTAAGTGATAAAAATTTTGACTTATCTTGCAACAGGTGCAAGTCAGAAGGGGGTTTGTTCCCTTCACTGCTGTGGCAATAAAGTAAGACTGATTCTTCCATTGAGTTAATGACTCGGACTTTGTGTCCTGAGTTCTGCTTGTGATTCCGGGTACTGGTTTCATCCACAAAGACATGGTTGCAATGTGGACAATAACCTCTCAGTAGGAATTTCTCTGCCACCTGAGCAATGCTCTTCTCAGCTAGAGCTACAGGACCAGCGTTTCGACAACGAACTCTAAATTGGACAAAAAAATAAACTCATAAGTATTTTCTAAATATAGTATCTCTGCTTTTTATTGTAGGAATTATAAAGTAAACAATGTATACACAAGCACTAAAAATTGTTTTTCAATAATGTTGCAGGGCTTCCCTGGTGGCACAGTGGTTAAGAATCCACCTGCCAATGCAGGGGACACGGGTTCAAGCCCTGGTCCAGGAAGATCCCACATGCCGCGGAGCAACTAAGCCCTTGCACCACAACTATTGAGCCTGCGCTCTAGAGCCCGCGTGCCACAACTACTGAAGCCCGCGCGCCTAGAGCCCGTGCTCTGCAACAAGAGAAGCCACTGCAATGAGAAGCCTGTGCACCTCAACAGAGAGTAGCCCCCGCTCACGGCAACTAGAGAAAGCCTGCGTGCAGCAACAAAGACCCAACAGAGTCAAAAATAAATAAAATAAATTAAAAAAAATAAAGTTGCAGATGATATAATAATATTCTATCTACCTACCCATTACCTACACTTTATCTGTTTCTAATCCATATACCAAAGGGTAAAACTAGAATCAAAAAATTTTTTTAAAATTCAGACAAATTTTAGACAAGTACAAACTATATCAAATGCACTGATAGGAACGTCATGAGACAAGCAAGTAATTAACTTCTCTGTGGTAATTAAACAATACAGAGGAGCACTACAGTGAGACTCTCAACAACCCTGTACCTATTCTTTAAGAATGAACTGATTTTATGTCAGGAAAATGCCATGCCCATGGTTGCTTTTATACTAAAGAAAGTGTCCAACATCATTGTTCATTAGGGAAATCCAGATTAAAATCACAGTGAGACTCTCAAAAGAACAACTAAAATGAAACAGACTGGCAACAGCAAACCTTGGCAAGGATGTGGAGGAACTGGAACTCTCTCACCTGGCTGGTAGGAATGTGCACCAGTGCAAACACTTTGGGAAAATGTCTAGTAGTGTCTTATAAAATTAAATACACACCTACTCTTCGATCCCGTAATTCCACTCCTAGATATTCATCCAAGAGAAATGAAACCTATGTCTATAAAAAGGCTTGTATAAAATGTACATAGCAGCTTTATTCACACTAGCTAAAAACTGTCCATCAACATAATGAATAAACAAATTGTGCTGTATTCATACAAGAGAATACTTCTCACAAATAAAAAGGAACAATGTACTAAACAATATGGATGAATCTTACAGATATTATGACAAACACAAAAGAGTGCATACTATATATGATTCCATTTACATAAAGTCCTAGAGGAGATAAAACCAACATAAGGTGGAAAAAGTATCAGAATAGACTGCCTGAGGGTGAGAGGGTGGGAAGTGACCAGGAAGGGAACAATGGAAATTTCCATGGAGAGGTAACACAGGATGGTAAAAGTGTGGGTTAACAGATGTATTCAGTAGTCAAAATCATAAAGGTTAAGATCTGTATACTTCAATAAATCGAAACTGTATCTCAGAAACAACTGTAAAAAATAAGGGCGGTGAGCATACAGATATATAAATAAAAGAAGAATGGCAGTGTTGATAATTATTAAAACTGGGTGACAGGTAAATGGAGGTTCATTATACTATTCAGCTGACTTTCATACAGTTGAAATTTTCCATAAAAAAAATTAGGAATAAAAATAAAAGGCAGAACCAGGATTTGAACTCATGAAATATAAGTCAGAACTAGGACTGTTAACATCAATAATTATACTGAGTATATACAGTGATTATACTCCACTGCCTTTTTTTTTTTTTTGCGGTACGCGGGCCTCTCACTGTTGTGGCCTCTCCCATTGCGGAGCACAGGCTCTGGACGCACAGGCTCAGCGGCCATGGCTCACGGGCCTAGCCGCTCCACGGCATGTGGGATCTTCCCGGACCGGGGCACAAACCCGTGTCCCCTGCATTGGCAGGCGGACTCTCAACCACTGCGCCACCAGGGAAGCCCTGCCTCTATTTTTTGAGAACATATTTTACTTGAAGGTTTGTGAAAACAACTGTTCTACTTAAACAAATGCAATTGTATCATTTAGTAGTGTGATACAATTTTAATGCATTTTAAAGAAATAATGGGGAAAAAAGACCTAAGAGACACAGCATCTAAATGCAAAGTACAGACTTTGAATTATGATTCCAACAAACCAAATGTAAAAAACATCATGAAGTAATCAGGGAAATTTGATAACTGACTAGGTGTTTGATGATATTTAAAAAAACTAGATTTTTAAAGTGTGATAACGGTATTAGTTATTTTTCTTTAAAAAAAGAGTGCTTATCATTCAGAGATATATATTGAACTATTTACAGATAAAATGACAAGATTTGCTCCAAAATAAGAACTTCTGGGGATGAGAGTATAAATAAAACACAACTGTCATGTGTTGATAACTACTGAAGCCTGGTGAAAGGTACACTGGGGTTCATTATACGATTCTCCTTACTTTTGTATAGTGCTTGATAATTTCCATTGTAAAGACAAAAAAAGCATACTTGATTGTTTGACAAATTTGGCCTTTCACTGACATGTAATTTTTCACTTGTTTGTGATACTTTCCATGCTGGTTGACTCAAAGCCAAGGTTCTATCTTAACCCTCTCCTCCTCCCGGCACAACCCTCAACAGCACATGCAGAACTTAGAACTGTTAGCTTGTTTTATGTTCACGGCAACATCAATATATCCACTTTTCTCACACCTCTCACTTCTTTCATTATGCTAAGTTTGGGTAATGTCCAGGCAAATATACACTCTCATTTTAGAAGGAGAGAAACATGGAATAGAAAAGTATTTGCTGAGTCCTCTGGCTGGTGAGCTTATTGGGCGGGAATCTTACAGCCCAAGACTAGCCCCTTACAAACCTGAAATGGGCAGTGAGCTCCATGTGGGAATGCAGTGTCTGGTGGCAGGCCACACACTTAACTTGAAATGGAACATCTTTGCACAGAGAGATCAAAAGTTTCTTTGCAAAAGATGGAAATGATATTGGCTGTGCCATTCCCTTGTCATCTGAAAGACAAAATGAACTATGACTTGCAAAGATCTGAGTAGAGTGACCCGGCCTTCCTCCCCTTTGCCTTTCTCAACATCAGGTGAGGTAAGTAAAAGAAGATGGTTATTTATGTCATAAAAATCTAAGAGAAGTCGTTTTCTAGCCTCAATTAAGTGCAGTAGATGCTGAACTCATGCTCAAGTTAAAATTTGAACCTTAAATGCAGAGAAATACCCAACTTCCCAATGGATATACAAAAACATTATCCTGCATAAATGTTTTCTTCCCAAGTTTCTTTTCATCCTCAAAGTAAACCTTACTCTTAGGTGCAAATAAATAATGAGAATCTTTTTTGAAAAATAAAAAATGAGATAAAAATCTTTTGCTTTCATGGTTCTCAAAACTAATGTGAAGATAAGTTACCTCAAGAATTATCTGAGAAGTATGGTAAATCAGCAAAGGTTAAAGTAGTTTAACAATTTTCAGCGGAAGAGAGTATTAACATACCACCCAGTTTAAAACTCTGATGGAAATGATTCTTCCCAGACATATGCTTCAAACACTCATCCTTGCTGCTAAAAAGAAGGAAGCAATTTGGACACGCAAAACACTGAATAATCTGAGGAAGAAGGTTGTTTTTATGTCCATCATCTGCAGCTTCCTAAAATACAAGGCAAAGCTTTATTATAGACAACTAAAATCAATATTCAATTTCTTAAATCAACTTTCAAAATTTCCTATTTATTTGAAATATTTTGTATCAGTTTTTAACATGAAAACTTTTCTTCCCTGAGTGTGAACTGTGGATTTTTTTGTCATAAATGAGGTCCCATATATGAAATTTTAAATTATTTCCTTAAAAACAAATTATTACCATCTTTCTGTGACAATAAACATAAAAGTACATTTGCTTTCTATACATTTTTCTTTTTATATATACATCTATATGCAATATTATATAAATGCATAGTTTTCATATCACATATACTTTTTCTTGTTTTGCTGTGTTCACTCTACTCTGCAATATAACCTATGTTTACAAATATGTATTCTTCCATAAATTTCTCCATACAAAAATAAATACACAAGGGGAATTGCCATTGTTTTATCAAATATTGTCATCTTACAGATACTTCTGCCTCTTATTAGTTTTCTTATTCCACAGTAACTAATGGAAATCCCTAAAAATCAACTGGTGTCACTCTAATTTATTCTTCTTAATGGCTACAAACTACTCCATGGTGTGGATCTACTGAGATTTAGTCAACTATTCATTTCCAGGAGTTTTTTTTTTTTTTTTTGCCACTGTAAACAATGGTTTTGTAAATACTGTTGACTATATATCCTCATTAAATAGTGCTTTTCTCTCATTATCAGGATTGGCCGCATTGGGTTAAAAGGTTCATTATTTGAATATTAAAAGATATTGTGTAACTGCTTCTCAAAAAGGCTCTACAAATTCCGATTCCCTAGCACTGAGTGAGCCTGGCACAATAGCTATTACAGATCTTATTGTCATGTTTGCAGTCTTACAGATGTGTGTTATGTTAATTTGCCTTTCCTGTCTACTAGTGAGTGTGAGCATTTATTCATACAATTCTGTGCATTGCTTATTCCATTCCAGCCTCATGTTTTGATTGTTTTTGCTTTTTCCCCTCTGGTCAACTTGTATCCATTCTCTGTTATCAAAACTAACTCCGTCTCATCCTCCATTTTTCAAATATTCTTCATCAAACATCTATTACTTTAGTATATGGTCACCTTAAAATTCTGATACAAACAGGTATGTCTTTTCTAGAGTCCAGGTTTCCAAACTTGGCTAAGAGTCTCCTCTATCCCCAAATTGGAAATATTTTTAAGTGTATATTTAAATGTATAACTGTATGTGTGCTGTGTATAAATATAATGTAACTTCCTGTTAATGGTCTTTAGAATAATAGCCTTAAAAGTTGTATTGTGTCTTCTTAAATTTACTATCATTAACATTAGGGGTATCAAAATAGTTTGTGTAGTTGCTTATGAAATGCAACAGGAGGAGTGATAGGAAATTTACATTTATACTGAGCATATGTCAAGCACCACCTTACGGTTCAAATGTGCTTTTCCACTTAATCCTTACAATAACCCCGTGAAGTACTATTTTCATTATTTACAAATGAGAAAACTGAAGTTTACATAAGTCAACAAAATTATCACTCCCCTCCAAGTTGTACCCTCAGAAGAGATGAAGCTACCATTCACACCCAGCTTTATAGCTGTGGTGGTAAATCCTGTGCTCTTTCCACTACTCCCTCACCCTATTTTATTTTGGTGAGAGCCATGCAGAAGATAACACCCAGTATGACACTTTGCATTCCAATTAGAAGGTTCCAAATAAGAGCACTAAAAGCATTTACTACCAACCAATTTGTACAAATGACCCCTACCTGAAGAACTCTAATAAGCTTTAGTTCAACTGTGAGTTATAAGTGGATTCAAAATAAGCTTGTTTAAACTGTTTGCTCAATAGAACAAAAACTGTGATTCTACATAAAATTTTATTGGAATATACCTATTGCAAAAGTATAGCATATTTGCAAATAACTTCTACAAACCAGGGGAAGGAATGGGAAATAGGATATCTGGGAAGTACTCAATTCCTTTTTGCCATTATATTTCCAGTTATATTAAATCAAAACACACCATACAAATATGTATACATAAAAAAAGTATAACCACAATAAGATACCACTTCATAGGTACCCACTAGGATGGCTATTTTAAAAGACAGATAGTAAGTGTTGGCAAGGATGTGAAGAAACTGGAACATTGTTGGTAGGAAAGTAAGCTGGTACACTGTGATGGATAACAATTTGGCAGTTCTTCAAAAACTTAAAGATGATAACCATATGGCCCAACAATTAACTTCATTAGAGAAGTGAAAAAGTATGACCACACAAAGACTTGTACATTTGTTTATATCAGCATTATTCACAACAGTCAAAAAGTGAAAACAACCCAAGTGTCCACCAACTGAACTGATAAACAGAAAGTGGCATATGTCCATACAATGGAATATTACTTGGCAATAAAATGGATCAAGTACTGACATATGTCACAACATGGATAAGCCTTGAAAACATCATGGTAAGTGAAAGAATCTTGTCACAGGCGGCCACATACTGTAGGATTCCATTTAATGAAATGTCTGGAAAAGGCAAAAACCAGAGACAGAAAGTAGCGTACTGGTTGCCTCGGGCTGGGGAGGGGGAAGAGTCACCTTTGATGACAGAATGGCCCTAGGAACAGAATGAGAGAGAGTTGGAATGCCCACTGACCCACAAGTGACACTGAGGCACCCTGGGGCTTACGATACATCCTCTACCATCCCCACCAGCACCAAAAGGGAGAAAAGCAGGAAGTTACACAGTGACAGACACACTGGATAGTCTTTTTTTTTTTTTGGCCATCCTGTGAGGCGTGTGCGATCCGACTAGGGATCGAACCCATGCCCCCTGCTGTGGAAGCACAGAGTCTTAACCGCTGGACCACAAGGGAAGTCCCTGGATAGCTTGAATGTCAGAAAACACTAGACACTTGCTACTCAAAGTATGACTCAAATACCAGCAGCACTGCCATCACTTAGAAGCTTGTTAGAAATCTTGAATCTAAGGCCCCATATCAGATCTACTGAGTCAGAATCTGCATTTTAACAAGATTCCCAAGTGATTTGTGTGCACTTTAAAGTTTGAGAGGCATGAGTCTAGACAGAAGAAACTGGAGATAAAAAGAAAAGGGAAGGGCAGCAAGGCCAACAATGCAAATTGTGGACAGTTTCACAATTTCACTGAAGAACATCATCTTTATGAAACAGAATTCACAGGTATGCAATCTTCTAGCGACCTCTTCTGGCTCATTTAAGATACATAATGACTGGTTCCTTCCGAGTCCTTGTGACAAACACTCCAAAGAATAAGCAATAGGAGCTTTTATTAAAAACTCTATGTCAGGCCATAAGTGCTTTATATTGTATTATGTTTTCTCTCAACAATCTTGTATGTAAGTATAACAATTCCACTTTAGAGATGAAGAACCAAGCTCATAGATGTGCTGTAACTTGGTGAGAACACATAGCTAATAAAAGTAACTGGAATCCAGGTCTGTCTGACACCAAAGCCTTTGCTCTGTTTTACCAGATTGCTTCCCAGAAGGCCGAATATCATAAATTTACTTCCCAGAGAGACGGCAAAAGGGAGGGCAAAACAGCATAGGATGAGTGATTCCCAGAAAAAAAAGGAAACAAATTAATGAAATTTGGGAAAACACAAATTAGAGTATTAATTAATTTTAAGGTTAAAATATCTATTCAGATTTATTGAAGAAAAAAGATAAATATGCTTACAGCATGGAATAGAAAAACATGCCCTGAAAGAACTCCAGTTCTGAAAAAGGTGGAATATTAGTGACCCACTGCAAACACTAAAAAACTATGGAATGTAGTTGCACCCTTTTCCCTTCTCTCCCCAAACCTGTGTCAGGGCACTAGACAGCCCTATCATTTCTTTCTTTAATGTGTCTTTTGGATCCACTTTAAGGTCTTTATTTTAAATGTCATTACCTAAGTAAACCCTTTTCTCATCTCAAAGCTAAGTTACTGCTGAAGTCACCTAAACTGGTCCCCTTGTCCACATCTTTGAATCCACCCTGAACACTGGTGCCATTCTAATACCACTCAATCTCTTTGGTGTCCCTAAAAAAGGAGAAGGAATTTGGTTCTAGAATTTAAAGTCCCTCTAGCTCTGAAGATATAAGAATTATTTTCATCATGTCACGTCCTGTGATAGTGCCAGTATCTTGCCAATATCAAGCTTAAATTTTGTGCCTTTATAGTCAAGTTACTATTGTACTTGTGTTGGGAGTCCCCAGGACCATCCCCAGGCTTGGTGGTTGGCTAGGACTCACAGGACTTGGTGTACAGTTGTACTCATGACTATGCTTTATTATAGCAAAAGGATACAAAGGGGGAAAAGCACACTGGGCAAGGTCCAGAGGAAACCAGGTGTAAGATTCCAAGGGTCCTCTCCCAGTGGAGACACACAGGACACACTTAACAATGAATTGCAGCAATGCACGTGAACAATACCTTAGAGACTCACTGCTCAGGGGGCCGCATCACACCTTCCTAGTACAGACCAAAATTCCAGACCCCCACAAGGAAATTAGGTGCTCAGCATAAACCACACTGTCTGCACCAACAGTTCACGCACAAAGGGCCACTCATCAGAGATTCGTAGGGACCCGCCAAATCTAAGTTCCTAGACAACAGCCCAGTGCCAACCTTGCAAGCAAGTCCAAGGACAGAAGTCTCAGGCCTGCTATGTTACCTGCTCTCTGCACACTACCTATTCCCATATTTGCTACTCTGTGTAGGCTCTTGTTCAAACCTTCCTGTGATTACACCACTTGTCCTTTCCATCTATCCAAATCCAAGCCTGGAGGACCACTTCTCCTCTGCAGTGCTCTGTCAGCTTCTTCTGCTACTCCTCTCCCCTTCCTCTGAACTCCTATTTCACCTGATGATGTACCATTGCAGCTTATTCATTCTAGAGCACATGGATTCCTCTCGTACTACGGTGACTCATCAGGGTTGAACAAGACACAGGCTCCCCAAAACTAATGACTAAGTATACAACGAACTCAGCGTCAACAGGCGCATCTATCCTAGGAACACTCTCCAGCACCAGAAGAGGGGTCAGTCAACCACAGAACTCAACCAGAGACACCTGGAAGTGCAAGTCTTCATTTTCTGTGTGAACCTCTACAGAATCCAAGTTACTGCCCACATGAATTTTCAAGTATAGGGCTAGAGATTAGCAAATTCTGAAAACATGGTTTAAAGAAAAACCCTAGTTCTCCCTGGACATTAGCATTTTACTCCTTCAAAACCTAATATTTACTCAGCAAATACATCAAGTATGGATCTTACAGGTTTTTAGCTACAAGGATATTTAATGTGTTATTGCTTTTAATCACAGAAAAATGTAAACAATTAATACATCTAATAGGAAATTAAATGAACTATAATATATTCATACAGAATGCCATTCATTGATTTTAAATGTACATACTGATTCAAAAGATATTTAAACATTTATGTTTACAACACACTACTTTTCTTAATTACGAAAAAATTTACATACTTTATCCTATGTAAAAATATTTATATATGGAGAAAAAGCAGAAATATATACATAAAAATGTTAACAATGCTTATCTCTATAAGTGAAATTAAGAGCGATTTCTTAAAAGAAAGAAAAATACCGTATGATATCACTTATATGTGGAATCTAAAATACAACACAAATGAACACATCTACAAAACAGAAACAGAATCACAGACACAGACAGTAGACTTGTGGTTGCCCAGGGGGAGGGGAAATGGAGGAGGAAAGGACTGGGAGTTTGGGGTTATCAGAGGCAAACTATTATATGTAGGATGGATAAACAACAAGGTCCTATTGTATAGCACGGGGAACTATATTCAGTATCCTATGATAAACCACATTGGAAAAGAATATTAAAAAGAATGTATATATATGTATAACTAAATCACTTTGCTGTACAGCAGAAATTAACACAACATTGTAAATCAACTATACTTCAATAAATTTTTTTAAAAAGCGATTTCTTATTTTCCTTTTGTTAGTATTTAAAAATTTTTCCACAGTGAACATATTGCACAATTAACATTTTGTAATTTTAACTAGTGAGATATCTAATATCAAGTGTGGGAAACACTTATTACAGAGTTCTTCATTACATTGAATTTGCTAATATCATGAATCAATCTTATATCCCTTGAGATTTAACACTTAATGCGAGTGTTAAATACCAGCCTTTTAAATACCATATCTATTTCTTAATACCAGCATTAATAAAGGAATCATTATTTACTACGTGGCTCCAACAATTCAACCAGCAGTGAACCGCAGCACACTTAAGAATAATGTTCTGGTTATCATGTGACTAACTCACAGAATATCTTGAACAAAGTAAGTTATTTTCATAGAACAACTCCATAAAAATGATATTCTTTAAGACTGCTGGCTTTCAGCTATCAGGGTTACCTGCCCACGATAATTTAATGTTCCAAGTAATTTTATTCCCCATAGACAATCATAATTTTGATCTTTATGTGCATCACTGTTGAATGCAACCTTAAGAGCACCAAGAAAACACTTATATCCCATTCCACGGTTCTCTAGAAAAAGAATACCTACTCTTAGCTTAGGATATGCTCTTACCTTAGCAAAAAGGTGATCCCTATATTGTTGTTGAGTAACAAAATTTTTATAACATACTACACAAGCAAAAGAACTGATGAAAGGTCCATGCAGTGTAATTGTTGGATCACATGGAGAGTGATCAAACCTACTCAGCAAAAGAGAGGTAACATTAGAAAATCTGACTTTCTAGGGGCAAAACTATGTTGCTTCATTTGTTAAGCTAGACACACACACACACACACACACACACAGTCAGGACTTTACACTTTTTCTACTGAAATATTAATGTTCTTTATATTCAAGAAATATCAAGTGGTTCCCATATGCCATGCAATCTCTTCAAACAGTGACCAACAGCTTTACGTTTCATAAAAGTACCCAAGATCCAATAAAATGGATTTAAGCATGTCTTGCCAAACTGGTAAACTTCCAGTTTGAAAACTGTACAGCCATCATCTGTTCCTTCCTGCTTTATTTACCATAAAAATCACAAATAATTGTAAATGAACCACTGGAATAATAATCTCATGTCAAGATTTCTGGCACACACCTATTTCCTAAAAATGGCTTTTAATCCTTTTAATGTCATTTTAACCATTTAACAAATTTGTGTCATTTAAAAATGCCTCAGAGACTTTTTAAAAATACTTAGAATATAGTTATCTGTAGAATGCTGAAGCCCCTCCAGAAGGCTCTAAGAGTAAGGTAAGGTGCAAGTAGGGTGAGACATCTGGAAAAGAGAAGGCTTAGAGCTCCAAACTCTCAATTCCCATCTTTAAACTATGAGAAGGGGAGACTGAAGATAAGACTATTTAATGCCTTTAATATTGCCTTCCCTTGATATTTACTTTCTCAAGCTCTACTATTCAAAAATTCAGTAAATTAATAAGATGGATTTCATAAACAGAACATTTATTGTTAACTTTGGTACATTTGGTTTGTCTTTAGCATTTATTTTGTAATGCCATACTAGCTTTCTTTAGGCTAGCCCAAATATCTGTTAAGTGCTTTGTGTCTCTTCAAATTTGCTAAATGCTGGATTTTCTAATGCACTGCATTTCTCTAAAACTGATCCAAATGCATATCAATGCAAAAAGTCTGGTCAGAATTTTATGAGACATATTAGGATTGAATATCACTAAAATAATCTGATTTCAAGCATTCTAGGAAGCCTAAGAAATGTACATTAGAAAAAATTACATCATAATAGCACAGAACAATGAGTTTGGAATATAAAGCTATAATCACAATGGCAGAGGTGCATCACGCTTTCATTTCATCTTCAGCATCCACTATTCTGAATATCACACTTACCTTTTCAAATGTCCTAAGAGAAGGTGCCCATTATCGAACTGCTTGTTACAGTGCATTATGGGACATGAAATTGGCTTCCCAGACACTCGTATTTGGCCTCCTCTTCGGAATGAACCTTTTGTTCCAGAATTAATTGTGCCTGTTTTGAGTCCTGCATCATTGGAATATAAATTCTTAAGTTTCTATTTCAGATACTTGTCCTTTGGACTGGTAATCAGAATTATGAAAAAAAACAATGAAAAACATGTGCAGCATCAACTGGGTGATCCTACTTGTAATTAGGTGTTTACAAACTTTCTTATAAAAGGTACAACAACCTACAAGTAAATAGCTATTTGGGACAAGGGAAGCCGTTAACATCCCCAAGTAACATCTGAGGAAAAAAACTGTTCCCTTAAGTTCAACAGCCAGGAAACATCAAAGATGGAATATATTAGAAAACCAGTTGCTCTACAGAACCCCTATTCCTGCCTCCCTTCTTTTCATTTATGCAAGTTGGCAAAGATTTTTTCTTCTAATTCTTATTTTCTCTTTTAACTATCTTAAACACATCGTAAGGTTTAGTTATATTATAGAGGATCTGGGTTCTATGAATATTATGTCAAACAATGTAACTGGGAGGGCGGGAAGGAGTGAAGAGGACAGAGAGACAAGGAGAATGCCTTAATTATCCCTTTATCCTGGTCCATTCTTCATCCCCTTTCTTTCTTTATAATCTTGGTCTTAACAGTCACATAACTTTCTAGACTTAGCCATATTTTCTTCCCAGGCAAACTCCCAATACATGTTACACAATGAAAAATTTAGAGTTATGCTGTATAAACAAAGAATTATAAAAACTTCCAGGAGGATTCTAATACATACTCTAGTTTGATTATTATCTTTTATTATTATTTCTTATAAATTGTTATTTTTAGTTATTATTTATTATAAATTATTTTATTATTTATTATAAATTGTTATTTCTTATAAATTATTTCTTATAAATATTATTATTTCTTATAAATTATAAAAACTCAAATACCTTAAATATTTCATACAACAAAAAGCTGTGTATTTATCTTTATGGCAATTTCTACGAAGCCCCTAAGCATTTAACTAGAATAAATGTTATTCCTTTAACATCATCTAGTTAAGATCTCCAAATGGTTATAGATGTTGAAGGTTTCCATGCTTTTCTGCTGTTTATGGGGGAAATACCTCTATTAAATGCTGCCAAAATGCTTATAAATGTGTTCTACCAATAAACAACGACTAACATAGCATTAATCATATTAAAAGAGGCATTAACAACAATATACTTTTTTAATCTTTAATTTTTTAATGCAGTCAGAATTATAATAATTTTTATTTACTGTCCATCCACATTCCAGGTGTTGCCTATTAAAACCTTTATTTAGCCAAACAGAGGTTCTGGATAAAAATCAAAGTGGAGAAAACAAGCCAGAAAGAAAATAAGCTTTATCTATGGAAAGGCAAAATACAGAGATTTAAACAGCTCTTTTCCTTAAATAGTACAGAATGTTGTTTTTAAACTACTAAGTAATCAAATGTGTGGAAACTGGCCTAACTATAAAAGTCTATAAAAAATAAAAGATGGATTTCCAGTTTGAGTAATTATAAAGTACTCAAACTACTTCTAATCAAAGAACTGAATTATAATGGTTGGATACTTTGGAACAGATTGAACAAGTCCCTTAATGCTATTGAGAAGTAGAATCTCACTTTTTATAACTGACAAGAACAATGCCATCTCTATTCTCCCCAGCTCTCCTCTCCTCAAAGATCTCAGCATTCTCTGAAGCCCATGTATGGAACGGCACCACACCAAGTATAGCCCAATGCTAAGGCTGCTGTGCTAGCAAAAGACCCCAGAATTCAGTGTTACGGAGTAGCAGGGACCAAGTAAAACAATCACATAAAAAGAGCATAACTAAAGACCTTAACTCAAGGCACAAGTTTATCAGCCACCAATGAACCAGGTGTCACCTGAAGTGATATACTGATACAATATCACATCTTGCAAAGAATCCTAAAGACACAGCTAAGTGACTCATTTGTTCCCAGAAATATATAAACAGATGCTCATGAATTCAATTTACAATGAATTAAAATATTCTGACAATCTGGAGGCCAGGGATTAGGCCTAAAGGGACATATTACTGGCCCAGCAATCATTCTAGTCAGACTAGAATGTTAGACTAGTCTAACACAAGACTAGAATCTTGTGTTAGATTCATATGAGATGAACGATTTTTACAAGACATCTTGTAGATTGAGCCTTGTAGTTCTAGCCCATTTTCCTACCAAAATCATGTAGGAATCTTCCCAAATCTACAGATGCCCTAGAATTATCTCTAGTGGTGAGGCCCAGATATGTGTATTTAAGACTCCCAGGTGATTCTGATGCAGCTAAGGACCATAATTTCTAAGTATTTTTTCTAAAGTAGGTCTGGAATGCCAAACAATTCTTTTCTTTAGTTGAATGACAGTCACATTTGGTACCCGAGTTCTAGGCTTCTTTTCTGTGTTCATATGCAAATCCTACAGCCCACTCTTGTATAATATTCAACCAACACTTATTGGACATCTCTATGCTGAGCCTTCTTTTTAGGCACTGACACTAAAACGGATTAATAAGCCTTAGTCTCTGTCCCCACGGAGCATATAAATCTGGTAAAAGACACAGACACGTAAACTTATCAATGCAACATAACAGGGTAGAAACTATTTGAGAGAAATGAATAAAGCACTGTGGGATCAAAGACAGCTGAACGACCAAACTTATGCAGACTAAATAAACCTAGCAACCTCTAGTATTGAATGTTATCTGTAGGGCTAACCCCACAGGCAACTAAGAAGAAAAAAAAGAGGAAAGGGTATTTAAAAAGGAGGATGGGGCAAGGTGGGAGTTTGCCAGGCACAAACACATTGGGAGATAAGAACAAAATACAGTTTCAGGGAGTGGCCAAGTGTTAAAATATCTACAAATTATTGGAATTATTTTAAAAGTGGCAATTTGATTCTATTCAAAGAAAAGTCCTCTGAAAACTACAGAATAAGATACCTAGGTTCAAAGTTGAGCACTGCATACATAGATATTTCTAAGACTTTTTGTAATTAAACTTTCTGCTGGATTAAATCCACAGCTAAGGTTTCTGTGGATATCCCAAGCCTTTAAGGGCTCAGTGGGTCTTCTACAAGACAAGCTAGAAAAGTTGCCATGGTGGCTCTTAAAAATTCTACCAAATTATCTGGTAGGAGGAAACCACTGCACAGTGACTCTTCCAGGAATTTCAGGTCTGCAAAGAGTTAGCAATGAAGAACCTAGCCACTGCTTTAGATGAGCCTCCCACATAGACATTTCCTTAACAAATATCTACACAGGCTGCACTGACAAATAAAAAAGTAAATGCTAATACTTTCCATCTCAGCTTAAATTCCACTTCCTTAGAGAAGCCTGACCTCAAGTAACCTGTTACACGCCCTCCCACAGAGGGTAATAACTAGGAGACATATGAATGAATAAATGATCAGCTCAAGGATTACTTATACTCAAAATACACTTCTGCCAAAGTAGGAAGACAATTGGTAAAGTAGGTCTTCTGTTAAGTATTACTGAACTAAATTTCAATACTTTATATACTTATTAGCAACTGAATAAAACAGACACAATGCTTTAAGGCTTTAGGGAAGCTTGGTAATCTTATGTTCCACTCTGATCTCTAAAGAATACCTACCTGGCATTTTTAACCATTGGTCCACACACAGTCTCGCTGCTTCTGTATCAGAATGTCCTCGAATAAATTCCAATTCTTGTAACCCATGAGCATGTTGAAAATCTACTTTTTCCTAAAGATATTAAGAAAAAACTCAATTAACCTATGGTTACTAATCCGGTTTCCTTAAGAAAATGATTTTGTCACAACAGCGATCAGAAAATATTGATTATCCTTTACCCCTGTAACTTCACACCTAGAACCCTATCTTAAAGAGGTAAGTCAAACCAAAGATTCATGCTGTAAGATGTTGATCCCAATGCCATCTACATTTGCACAAAGTTTGCAACAAATTAATCTCCAACAATAGGGTACCATTTAAGTAAATTATGGTGTGTACATTTCATGAAAGTCATTAGAAACACTAACAAAACTTTTTCATTGAAGCAGAAATATACTTTTGATATCAAGTGGGTCACCGAATAGTATTAAACAAATAAGGCCAAATATAAACAAAGATTATTTCAAGCTATATGTAACTCTATCTGCAGAGAGGGAAAAGGCAGAAAATAAATATGATAAACATCAATGGCTATCTCTGGAATGGAAATATGAATGATTATTTTCATCTTTAACCTTTTATACATTTTCCTTCAAATTTTCCATATATAGTCTGAAGTATACAGAAGCCTATTAAATATTTGTTCAGTGAATAGTATAAGAGCAGACACACATTAGTACTTAAAATGTGCCAGCATAAAGCATCTATTGCGTCTAGATCAAAGTCTGGCAAACTTTTTCCATAAAAGACCACAGTGTAAATATTTTAGGCTTTGCAGCCCATATAGTCTCTTTTGCACCTACTCAACTCTGCTGCTGCAGCATGAAAGCAGCCATAGATAATATGTAAACAAATGGGCATGGCTATGTTCCAATAAAATTTTATTTATAAAAACAGGCAGTGGGCCAGTGCCAACCACTAAACTAAATGCTTTAGACTGTTATAGTCTCTAAATCTTTCTAGTTACGTTATTGATAAAGCTATTTGCACACTCTAATCATGCTGTATTTAATGAGTAACACTTATTAACCACTTACCACATGCCAGGCACTGTCTAAAAGCATCTTAGATCTAATTCTCACAATAACCCTATGAGATTGGTACTATTATTGTTCCCATTTTATGATGGGAAAACTGAGGCACATGAAAGTCAAATAAATTGCACAGGGATAAATAACAATGCCAGGATTTAAACTCTCGTTCTCCAATCTTATTCTAGAATCCATTCACCTAACCAGTACATTAAGTCCCTTACACACGAACCTTCAAGATGAGAGCTTTCAAAGATACGAATGTGTGTTTGCATGCCCAGTCAAGTAAGTTAGTTCACGTGTCTGGCGTACATTGTCACATGCATGCATACTCTACAACTGGTTGTGATTTTGTGTACTTTACTGTACAGTATTGTATAGAGTACGGTAGTACAGTATCTGTATTTCAAGCCCAGGATCTCCTCCAGTCAGTAACTCTTCTTGCCTGTTCACTCGATGCCAGCCCCTGTATGCCAGCTGTTGTACTGTACTACTGTACTTTTCAAGGTGCTGTACTGTAAGATTTTAAATGTTTTCTTTATATTTTGTGTTTGTTTCTTACATATTATTTGTGTGAAAAGTATTATAAACCTATTACAGTACAGTACTATATAGCCGATTGTGTTAGTTGGGTACGTAGGCTAACTTTGTTGGACTTACGAACAAATTGGACTTATGAACGTGCTCTCAGAATGGAACTCGTTCATAAGTAGGGGACCTACTGTACAACATACTATGTCTCAAAAAGGTTGTTAAAAAGAAATCACAATTCCATAAACGCTGGATTTGCAAGAAATAGACCAGAATATTGAATGACTTACTTATCACTATAACAGGATCTTCTATCAGCAAGGGTAAGTAGGGGGACAGGGAGATTCAAGATTTTACTCTGAAAAAAATCTTCTACACAACTTTGTTCTAAGTATGGCCATAGAATACTAATTTTCCAAAGATGTTAATATGCATTATATACATTTAAAAAAATTCTCTGTAATCAAATTAAGTATAGAACCATTGGTTTCAAAACAGAGTTCAAAAGGTCCTTTCTGTGTAGGACTTCCAAAACCTTGAAGTGCTAACACACATGTGATTTTCCTTACAGTGAATACACAGTATCCCAACTTGATAAGTCACCAAATTACTTTTTTTTTCCCCTCAAAGTGTATCCTATAGGATCAGTGCTCTGGATAACATGCCATGGGAAACAAAATTAGTTTATCCAAAGAAAGTAATATGGCAAGCCTCTGGTAGACTATAAAGACATTTTATGTACAAAATTAAACCATCTATCAGAGTCCCTTACAAAAATCTTTAAAAAAAAAAACACCTTAAATTAAATAAATATAATTGAGATTAAATATTACTATATGCCAGCCAATAGCCTACTTATTTTAAACTACTGCCAGTAATTTAAAATAAGCAGACTTTTTAAAAAGAAAGTTCTCTGGCATTTCTTACAATAGAATTTGAACTCCGTGGCCATACATAGTCAATGCTCAAAAAACATTTGCTGGCTAAAATCACCCCCAAATTAGTCACCCTTTTCCTGTCACCCAGCTATGTCCACACACATTAGGGGTACATCCCTTCATGCAAGTCATCTTCACTCCTGAAATATCAACAAGCAAAGCTGGTAACTGATCAACTAGTCAAGCACAACACATTATCTCTGAAAGTGAGTTATCCAGTGAAGATTTTAACAAATTTTCTTTAAAACCTTTCCATCACAAAAGATGGACAATCCACTTTAACAGTGAGACACCAACAATTCACAAAGGCCTAGAAGAGCTGGAAGACATTTTCTACCATATTTTTAATCACAGTTAACACCTACTAAAATTCTGCAAGAATTAGTTTTACTTTAGTTTCATTATCTTCCTTTCGGGTAGTTTTGTTTTCTTATTGTTTTCTGTCATCTAGTTTTAAAAAACAAGTTATATATAAGGAGAATCAAACAAGAAAAAAAAGTCATGAATGAATAGCAAAAAACAAGCTAAAGTATCTGTGTGAGTCAGTTTCTTTCTTAGGAAAGAATGAAATCTAGATAAATTTATTCTTTACAATTGATAAACAAGAATTTCAAAGTTTAAAAAAACCTTCTCAAATGCTAGTCTTTAATACAATGAATGAACATTTACATGGGTAAAAGCTGAAACTACCCTTGAGAAAAACCCTAATTGTCATAATGACTAACAGATTCTGAACTCATCTCAAATGCTTTATTACCTATGTGGTGTTAACACATCTGTAACATCTGATCTGGGAAAAGAAGTGAGCATACTGAGGAAATGGGCAGAAAAGGGGGACAACTTGCAAACCATTCCTCTCTCAGACTTTGCCCATGACCCATAAATAACACACTTGATACAGTCTGAGAAAGGATCTTCCTTGAAATTGAATAGTGTTTTTGTTCTCATTTGTTTCTATGTATTTTTTTATTTCTTCTTTGATTTCTTCAGTGATCTCTTGGTTATTTAGTAGTGCACTGTTTGGCCTCTATGTATTTGTGTTTTTTACAGTTTATTTTTCTGTAATTAATTTCCAATCTCATAGCGCTGTGGTCAGAAAAGATGCTTGATACAATTTCAACTTTCTTAAATTTTCCAAGGCTTGATTTGTGACCTAAGATGTGATCTATCCTGGAGAATGTTCTGTGTGCACTTGAGAAGCAAGTGTCCTCCACCACTTTCAGGTGGAATGTCCTATAAATAACAATTGAATCTATCTTGTCTACTGTGTCATTTAAAGCTTGTGTTTCCTTATTTATTTTCTGTTTGGATGATCTGTCCATTGGTGGAAGTGGGGTGTTAAAGTCCCCTACTATTATTGTGTTAGTGTTGATTTCCCCTTTTATGGCTGTTAGCATTTGCCTTATGTATTGAGGTGCTCCTATGTTGGGTGCATAAATACTTACAATTGTTATATCTTCTTCTTGGACTGATCCCTTGATCATTATGTAGTGTCCTTTCTTACCTCTTGTAACAGTCTTTATTTTAAAGTCTACTTTATCTGATACGAGTATTGCTACTCCAGCTTTCTTTTGATTTCCATTTGCATGGAATATCTTTTTCCACTCCTTCACTTTCAGTCTGTATATGTTCCTAGGTCTGAAGTGGGTCTCTTGTAGACAGCATATATATGTGTCTTGTTTTTGTATACATTCAGCCAGTCTGTGTCTTTTGGTGGGAGCATTTAATCCATTTACATTCAAGGTTATTATCGATATGTATGTTTCTATTACCATTTTCTTAATTGTTTTGGGTTTGTTTTTGTGGGTCTTTTTCTTCTCTTGTGCTTCCCGCCTACAGAAGTTCCTTTGGTACTTGTAAAGCTGGTTTGGTGGTGCTGAATTCTCTTCCTTTTGCTTGTCTGTAAAGCTTTTGATTTCTCTATTGGATCTGAATGATATCCTTGCTGGTAATGTAATCTTGGTTGTAGGTCTTTTTCTTTCATCACTTTAAGTATATCCTGCCACTCCCTTCTGGCCTGCAGAGTTTCTGCTGAAAAAATCAGCTGATATCCTTATGGGGATTCCTTTGTATGTTATTCTTTGCTTTTCCCTTGCTGCTTTTAATATTTTTTCTTTGAATTTAATTTTTGTTAGTTTGATTAATATGTGTCTTGGTGTGTTTCTCCTAGAGTTTACCCTGTATGGGACTCTGCACTGCCTGGACTTGGGTGACTATTTCCTTTCCCATGTTTAGGGAAGTTTTTCACTATAATCTCTTTGAATATTTTCTCAGACCCTTTCTTTTTCTCTTCTTCTTCTGGGACCCCTATAATCTGAATGTCGGTGTGTTTAGTGTTGTCCCAGAGGTCTCTGAGATTGTCTTCAATTCTTTTCATTCTTTTTGTTTTCTTCTGCTCCTTTGCAGTTATTTCCACCATTCTACCTTCCAGCTCACTTATTCGTTCTTCTGCCTCAGTTATTCTGTTATTGATTCCTTCTACGTATTTTTCATTTCCATTATTGTGTTGTTCATCTATGTTTGTTTGTTCTTTAATTCTTCTAGATCTTTGTTAAACATTTCTTGCATTTTC